CCCAGAGCTTATAGCCCCACCCTGCTGCCTTGACCCCACCCTGCACCCTGGTAGACCCGCCCCAGCAACCTCCTAGCCCCGCCCCTGCTGCCTCAACTCCATCCCTGCACCCTAATAGTCCCATCCCTGCTGCCTTGACCCCGCCCTGCACCATGGTAGCCCCGCCCCAGCAACCTCATAGCCCCACCCTGCTGCCGTGACCCCGCTCTGCACCATGGTAGCCCCGCCCCTGCTGCCTCAACTCCATCCCTGCACCCTGATAGCCCCATCCCTTCTGCATTGACGCTGCCCTTGCACCCGCACAGCCCCGCCCCTGCTGCCTTGGCCCCGCCCCGGCACCCCTCACACAGCCCCGCCCCTGCTGCCTTGGCCCCGCCCCGGCACCCTCACACAGCCCCACCCCTGCTCCCTTGGCCCCGCCCCCACCCCTCACCTCCTCCCACTGGTGGATGTAGCGGATCAGGCGCGACAGGCGCAGCAGCCGCAGGAGGCTCAGGATCTTGGTGAAGCGCACGATGCGCAGAGCGCGCGCCGTCTTGTAGACCTCGGAGTCGATGCCCTTCTCCACGATGAGGAAGATGTAGTCCACGGGGATGGAGGACACGAAGTCCACCACGAACCACGTGCGCAGGTATTTCTTCTTGATCTTCTCGGGGTCCAGGATGATCTCCGTGTTGTCCTCGATCACGATGCCCGTGCGGAAGTTCAGCACCAGGTCCATGAGGAAGAAGGTGTCCGAGACCACGTTGAACACGATCCACGGGGCGGTGGTCTCGTCCTTGAAGAAGGTGATGCCCACCGGGATGATGATGAGGTTCCCCACCATGAACAGCAGCATGGTGAAGTCCCAGTAGAACCTGGGGGCGAGGGGCGCCCACACCTCAGGCCAGTGCCTCCCCGGGGCGCCTGCGAGACCAGCCCAGGCCCTCCTCTCTGGGGACCAGGCTTCTAGCCCAGGAAGGCCACCCAGCCCCAAGAGCCCAACGCCCACTGCGCAGCCCCAGCCCAGGTCCCTCCCTCGGGCCCAGCTCTGACCCCGTGTCCTTGAAGATGCGGGAGACCTCACAAGGCCCAAGAGGTGGCTCAAAATAGATAAAATGCTTCACATGACCAGAGAGGGACGATGTGCCCGGCAGAGGCTGCCGTTAAAATATACTCAGACAGGACAGCGGACCAGCAGAGAGAGGCCGGGGTGTGGAGAGCAGACGGGCGCCGGGGCAGCAGGGCCAGCAGGGAGGCAGGCACAGAGGGCAAGGGGGCAGCCAGTGTGGGAACCGAACTGTGCTCAGCTCACGCTGGGAGGTCAGGGCCCCAAACGCCCTACTGAGAGGTGGAAGCCTCCACCGGGGCCACAGGAAGGCTGAGCCAGGGGAGCACCGGCTGCATCTCCAGAGGAAGTGGGGTCCATGCAGGAGGACAGAG